GAAAAGCAAAAGAAAAACTCCCTCATTGGTACACAATCCCCCCGCACCTCCCCAAACCCCACCCCCTGCCCCCAAATATAATCCACTCTGCAACCCTCTTTGTGTACTCCTACGATAAAAATAATGCCCTAAAATATAATACTTTAGACCTATGCATTTTTAAAGTGCTTCTCCACACTGAAAAGCCAAACTAATTCCACTGTATTTTTTTTGCACAAGCTCGCACTTGCATTATTTCTATTTCCTTAAATAAGTGAATAGTCCCAGTTAATTTAGGTAAAGGATCTAATAATTTATTAAACTCTCTATCTATCACTATTTAGGCTTGCCAGCCTAAACACATTTTATTTGCTTCTTTCATGTGAAATCCACAACCAATGAAGATCTATTATTAACTTGTATCATAAGTAGCATTATGGCATAAACACTATATAAAAATGTTTTTCTATGACATGGCAAACACGGAATGCAGACCTAGTAGCAACAAATTTGTTTTGACTGTGCTGTCTGACTTTAATACATATTACCCATTCTACTTCTCAAAACACCTTAAAGATAACAGGAAGTAATTCTAGTGCATGACAGAATAAATCTGATTTTGAGAGCTGAAAAGACTCAATGAAGGTCACCCAACAGAAGCTTTGTATGTAACTCTAAATCCAGTATTCTTTCTACTTTATAAAGTATACCTTGAGGTTTCTTTAAGACAGAGTATTGAGAAGAGCTGCTTACATGAGAAAAAACAAATTTCAATAAAAAATTTTTAAAATTTGAGAAGTTTAATTAAATGCTTTACTCTGTAATATATCTATACTAATTGTGAAACCTCAAATTAATAAAGATTTATTAACTTTTAATATAAGTGGTATTATGAAATAAATGTTCTAGAACTAATGAATCCTATGTAAAAAGGTATTTGTTTTACATGGCAAAACATAGAATGTAGCCAGGAACAATACACTTATTTTAAGTGTGTTGCTATTGTAAGGTATCTACCTTTACATCGAGTATGACTCATAGTGACCCTTTAAAAAACAGTTTGAACCCTGTTCTGTCCTGTGCCATCCTCAAACCTCCTGACACACAAGAGTCCACTGCAGCAATCACTGCATCAATCTACCTGGGTGAGGATCGTCTTATCCTTCACCAACCCTCTGGTCTTCCCAGCATCATGTCCTTCTCCAAGGAAAAGCCCCTCCTAGCAACATGCCCAAAGTATGTGAGGCGATGTCTCATCATTGTCTCCAAAGAGCACTCTAGCTACACACTCTCTAAGACATAATCTGTTTCTTTCCCTTGGCTGTCCATGGGATGTTCAGTGCTCTTCTCCAACATTACAGCTCAAAGGTGTCAATTCTTTCTCTGTCATCCTTATTCATTGTCCAGCTCTCAGGTGATAGGAAAGAGTATGACCTAAATCAGACATACTTTAGTCCTCAAGTCATTATTCCTCAATCATTTGGAGAAGTCTCTAACTGCAGATTTTCCCACTGCAATGAATCTTATTCCTGACTGCTGATCTGACTTAATGGAAACTATCAAATAACATCATTAATATCACATGCAAGCAAAATACTGCTGAAGATAATTCAAAAAACTGCTAGAACAGTGCATAAACATGGAACTGTCAGAAGTTCAAGTAGGATTTTGAAGAGGCTGTGGCACCAGGGATATTACTACTGATGTCAGATGGATCCTGGCTAAAAGTAATGAATATTAGAAGAATGTCTTTTGTGCTTTATTAACTATGCCAAGGCTGTGTGGATCATAACAAGTTGCGGGTGACATTAAGAAGAATGGGAATCCCAGAGCACTTAATTATGCTCATGTGGAACCTATACCTGGACTAGGAGGCTGCTATGTGAACAGAGCAGGGGAACACTGCATGGTTTAAAACTGAAAAGGGAGTGCAGCAGGGTTGTATTAAACTGTATGCTGACCAAATTATGAGAAGCTAGACTCTATGAAGAGGAGTGTGGTATCTGGATCAGAGTGGGACTCATCAATAACCTGCACTACACAGATGACACAACCCTGCTTTCTTAAAGTGAAGAGGACTTGAAGTACTTGTTGAAGAGGATCAAGGAGTGCACCCTTCAATATGGATTGCATTTCAATGTGAAGAAAACAAAGATTCTTACCACTGGACCGACAGGCAGTATCATTATGGATGGAGAAAAGATTAAAACTGTCAACAGCTTATCTTGCTTGGATTCATAATTGAGTGCATTGGTTGATATGAAAAGGGAACAATTTGGTTGGCATTTCTCAAGCTGAATTAATGGAAAAAGCAAATTCAGGCCTTGAGCTGTAATACTTTGAGATGCTATGACTACCAAAAGAAGATGGAAATAATAAACACTGTATCAAAAAGAACTAGCCAACACTGAAATATTTCAGGAAGTACCTTATGAACAAGAGCCAGAAGTAAAGAAAGAAGACGTTTAAACTGCATTGAAAGCACTGACAAAAAATAAGGCCCTAGGAATTAGTGGGATGCTAACATACAAGTTTCAACTAAAAGATGCAGACCTAGATGTGCTCACCAGTCTATGCCAGGAAATTTGGAAAACAGCTCCCTGGCTGACTGACTGGAAGAGGTCTGTATTAGTACCCATTCCCAAGAAAGACAATCCAACTAATGTGGAAATTATAGAACAATACTGATTACAGCCTTCAATATGGATTGAAGGTCAACATCAAGAAAACAAAAATTTTAACCACTGGGCCAACAGGCAGCATCATGCTATATGGAGAAGAGATTGAGATTCTTAACAGCTTCAGCTTATGTGGCTCCACATCAACACTCTTGGTACCAGTTGTTGT